TCCATGGGAGAGCTGCAAGGCACAAACCACTGCTGAAGAACAAAAAGGCTTGTCTCACACTTGCCAAAAACATCTAGATGACCCCCATAACTTTTGGGACAATATTCTGTGGACTGATGAGTCAAAGGTGGAACTTTTTGGAAGATGTGGGTCTCATTACATCTGGCGTAAAGTTAACATCCCATTCCGCTATAAGAACATCATATAAACAGTCAAACATGGTGGTGGTAGTGTGATGATCTGGGGTTGCTTTGCTTCTGCAGGACCGGGGTGACTTGTCATAATTGATGGAACCATTAATTCTTCTCTCTTTCAGAAAATCCTGAAGGAGAATGTCTGCCTGTCAGTTTGTGACCTGAAGCTTAACTGCAGTTTGGTTATGCAGAAGGAAATATACTAATATAATTGCTATTTCATTGTGCATCCTTATTATTTATCATAAATGACTCTAACAGCTCTGCATAGGTAAGCACAATTCAACACTGAGTCACACAAAAGTCTTTGGAAGTCTCTAATATCAGTACAGGACTACAGCCCAGTCTATCCATGATTAGCTCTCCAGAACTGCAGGGCAGACTGTTCAGCACAGACGATTTTGCTGCAGAGTCGAAGCCCATCCACTATAAAATGTCAGAGTGGCAGGGTGTCTCTAATGAGGCGAGAAAGAGCAGGAGGAAGAGGAAGCAGTCAAATGAGACTCCAGAGAGAAGCAGCCAATCAGCAGAAGTGGCAGCTTGCGTGTGTGTGTGTGTGTGTGTGTTTAGCTTTACTTAGTCTCACCTTACACTGAATATGTTTACCTAGACCCACTGCCCCTGCAAACTTGCTTTACATTTGATGTTTTCAGAATTTAACGGCATTCAGCCACATTGGTGAGGTCAGATACTGATGTTGGATGATCAGTCCTGGATCACAAATGCCACTCCAACTCATCTTAAAGATGTTGGATGAAGCTCCATCACTCCAGAAAACGCAGTTCCTCTGCACCCAATGCTGGGCAGCCTTATACCTCTAGCACAATGGTTCTCAAATCGGTCTTAACGGACTCCCAGATGGTCCATATTTTGCTTCATTCTACGTGCTGTGAGTAATCTCAAGCTCAAGTGTGGCTGCTCCAGAGCGTCCCATCCTATGAGCAATGCTTTTCTTAGCTGTGTGCCTGCTATTGAACACTTGTGTCAGCAATGGGCAGACCTTAATTAGTGGAACCTGTGACTGTTATGAAAACTTCACATTATGCAGATCTTCAATATTAACTAAGCAAATGATTATTCACACTTGGACAGCAGTAAAAAGATAATCAGATGTGCAGCACAGTCAAAGCGTTTTTGGAAGCAACTGCATAGTGCAACTGAAGTGGACTGAGACATCTATGCAGAACGCAGCTGGAACTGAGGCTGGCTCTCACTGCAGCCCTGGATGAGCCTCATTGCTTTGCTGCTGTTGACATTATTAAGTTATGAGAATATCCTGCATCTCCAGGCCTCACAGGACCCTCAGAAATCCCCTGTCCAGAAAAAGAGGAAGAGGCGTTCCTCAAGGAACTCACAGAGAAACCTGGAACATTAGTATCCCCAGCGGCCCGATTAACCTGGCTGCTACTTTCTACGGCATTTCCAGCCACGCAGGGAGAGAGAAAGAGAGAGAGAGAGAAAAAAAAGGAAGAGGTCAGAAGAGGAGAGAGACGATACAGGATAGAGGACTTAGGTAAATGTAATTTAAATAAGCACCACTGCTAAAGCCTGTGCATGCTTTGCTTAGTCAATACTGACTACAGTTAAACTGTGGACACAGACTGGCTGCATTTCTCAGGATACAACTCCATAAAGAATCAGGGGGGGAAAGTGAGAGAAAGCAGACAGAGACAGATGCTGAAATGTTCATGTTCCTGGTCATTTATGGTCCATAAAGGAAGGCCTATGTCAGAAAAGATCACAGATGTTGTACTCAATGGAGGCTAAAACTAAACTGGTATTGGCAAAAAATATAACACCATGACAGTGGTTAAATGACTCGATTTGATTATGATTTTTTACCAAATCTCAGATTTCACCATGATTCAATTAGACTATGTTGGTATATTTCAGTATTATTTTTAAAAATACAGCAAATACATCAATGTGACTGGAGGAGCTGTTTAGATAGGACTGAAATGTGGACATAAAAAATACTAATCCAGAATTTTTTTTATTACTTTTGTGTTTGAAATAACCAGTGAATATTATCTTGACCAAAAATATGAATGTACGCATGATTGAATTATTATTGATAGATTTGATCATTTTTCAGTATCAATGCAGCTGATACATCGGTGCACTGTCACACCCCGACTTTATAACATCTACTATGATTTTTCTCTCATGCTCAGTTCACTCAGTTCATCTTCTTCTGCTCCTTTTTTGTCACTTTAGCCATTTCAACTTTTAAAAGATTCTCTCTTCTCTAAATCTTTCTGACTCATCAGACCAAAACCAGAGCCCAAATCAAACTCAGTCATCCAGCACTTCAACACTTCACAGAGAGCGGCTGAAAAGAAAGATGGAAGAAGAGAATTGGGAAAAGGGGGGCCAAAATATGATATGATATATCTCCAAAGATGAGAGAATGATTTCACGAGTTTAAATCAGATTGGAGAATAGAGGGATCAGCTCAGCTTAACTAATCACATCTGACAGATGTATGAGAGAGAAAAAAGAGAACGAGAGAAAGAGGAAGAGAGGGGCAGAGAGAAATGGGGAGAGAAAGAGTGACAGAGGAAAACAGAGAGAGAGAGAGGGAGAGGGAGAGAGAGAGAGAGAGAGAGAGAGGGGGGGGGGCAGAATAATCTGATGAAGAGACTGTGAATATGTTTACTTCTCTCCACGTAGAAAAACTCTGAAGATCTGTGTTTGTCTCATAAATGGGGACTTCCTGAGTGTGTGTGTGTGTGTGTGTGTGTGTGTGTGTCTGTGTTGGGGGTGAGGACAGTAAGAGGAAACCGTGCTCGTTAAAGAGACTGAGCTGTGCTGAAGAGATGTTTATGTTTTCATGCTGCTCTCAAGACCTGAGAGCCTGAAGCATTTGTGTTGTTATGGAAACAGAGCTCATCCTGACAGAGTCTGTCTGCTGACCGAATTTTAGTGGGCGGGCCGGAGGAGAGCAAAGTGTTCTGATTGGTCTTTAGGTCAACAAGGGAGATGCTGACTGGGGTTGTTATGGAAACACATGTGCCAGAATAACTGCTGAAGATGCTGCAGTTTAACAGGCCTGACAGTGCTCTGCTCATATTGCAGTGCACAGACACACAGACACACACACAAACACACACACACACACACACATACTGCAGTGTATGTGTCCATGGAAATGCATAGTGACACAACTGTTGTTGACACAGTATCCCAGATTTATAATGAAAAATGCAGAAGTGCTTTGTTGTTTGTAGTGTCCCAATCAGACACGCTAACCACAAGCGAACATGCTAGTCACAATACAAGGATATGATACGATACAATACAATACGCTGTGATAAAAACGGATATGATGTATTGTTACATAATCTTAAATAAAAACTGGTGTATTAATCCTTTGTGTGTAATCCTACGTGTAATCCTTGCAAACGATGACCCATGGATATCACTAGACGCTGTGCATCTTCCCTAGAGACGCTTCAGTTTTCAGTTTTCCTCTTAATTATCCTCATAATCACTGTCTGGTTTTAAATCCAGGGTGCTGGAGCACAGAGCCAAAACTGTGTCACTGCCCAATTACTTACAAACTGCACTGAACAAAAAAATGCAACAGAGAGTTCAAGAGGAGATTATGAAATAGAACTTTAATCTCCCTTTTTTTCCCTCTCTCTATCTCTATCTCACACACATTCACACTCGTATTCACACACACATGCACACAAAGAAACCCCCTCTCTCCAGCAGATGGTAATTAACTCTCAGAGGAGTAGTGAGGATTTCCCTTCTCAGACAAGCAAGAGGAAATCTGAGATAGTGATCATAAAAACAGACACTGCTATCACACCTCCAGAACGCGGCTGTGTAATACTCCAAAAGCGCAGAGCAAGTTTGAATGTGGCATTGTTAAATCACTGCACTGAGCCTGCATTCATTTATTTCCTCAATGACAAGTTCAGTAACTAGGATCTGATTGGCACCAGTGCAAAAAAGTCTAATGGGTTTCCCATACAAAATCTGTCTCGAACAAATTTTAAAAATGATGTTATTCGTTTGTTTTCTTGCTATTGTTAGGTCTCGCCATTGGTGCTCTAATGTAGGATTATGGTGGTTAGTATATAGTTTAAGGGGAATTACATTTTAAAAAGATTTTTGCATAAATAAATCATTATGATGTAAACAAATCATTTAGAGTTTTGATGTGAAATATTTTGTTCTAGAGAGCCAAAATTGTTCACAGTGGTGGTGACAGGAACCAGACATCTGAAGAGTTTAATGTCTCTAAAGAGCACTTCATAGAAAGGTATTACATTAAATTATCCTGAGACGTTGTTTTACAATTGTTTTATGACAGTGTTTTTCAGATTTATCACAATTTTTCCATCAACATTACATACAGAGTAAAAAGCTCTTTCTGAATAGCAAGCACAATATATTTTCTTGTAGACACTGTGACCCCTGGTTTATATCACAACCACTATAAAGAAATCTGAGTCGTTAGTTTAGATACAATTAATTATTTTACATCAAAGCTCTCTGAATGACTTTGTTTACATTTCAACAATTGAGTTATGTAGAAGTGTTGAGAAATCAGTGGAATTGCCTTTAATGATATCACACTTGGGAGTAAGATCACATAAGTGGAAATATAAAAATAAGGCATCCAATAAAGATGTAAAAAGGCCCAGTTGCCATGGCACCCCCACAAGAAGCCCCAGTGCGACTGTGCTGTCTTCACTGCTGGTATTTATGCTCCCGAAAACAGCACTGGCTCCAAGTCCACGGTATCAGATTGAGTGTTTATTTTAACTGTGCTGGACGCAGGTGACTCACCTGCACAAGCAGCTCTAATTTCCTGTCGTCCAGGAGATGGACCTGACATCTCCGCCCCTCTGTCATCTAGAGAGAGAAAGAGAGAGAAAGAGACAGAGAGATTAACCCTCGCACATTCACAGCAGGGTGAAATCAACTGTAAATACTGGGTCAATATGACAAGACAGAAATAGAAGCACTCCTTACACATACACACATGCACAAGCACACACATACACACTCACATGCGCATGTGCACCCATGCGTGCCCACTTGCATGCGCACATGCACAGTGATTCCCACTTGAGTGGAAGAATTCATTCTCATTCACACTACACATCACACGCTCGTGCAGCATGAGCTCTTCTACACTAAATGATGTCCCACATCAGTGCTGATGCTGATGCATCAGCAGACAGGCTTTCCTTTCGCTCAGTTCTCAGCTCACTTAGCTTATAATCATGCAGGCCTTCTACAGACACTAAAAATAACTGGTGCACTTCAGCGCACAATACAGAACATTGTATGCATTTGGAAGAATTCATAACTAAAGCATGTTATTATCTACTCAGGCTTTCTGGTATAGACAGAATAATAACATGTGATGTCATAACAGCCTTCAATCATACATACAAATGTACCGCTCACTCTCTGTCTGCCTCTTATACACACAGATGGTTTGGATTCAGGGCATGGCCTGATCCATATTGACTAATGCTTAACAATGCGATACTCCCATGATGCACTACTGCCCAAAAGTAATCATAATATATGTGGCCCCATGTGGTACTATGTTACAATATTACAACAGTTATATTACATATTCAACAGGAACACAGTATATGGTACAGGCTATACAGACAGAAGATCACGAATGTGGCAAACATATATGTATGTTTTAAGTATGTTTTAAGTTAAAGACGATCAATCTTCCTACAGGCAAAAGATAAAGAACTCCATAAGTGAAAATTACAGAATGCTAAATTGGTATTAAGTAACCTAAAGAATAGACTAAAAGTACAGCCACTGTTTTGTCACATAAGATATAACTTAGCAGTTGTCCCATTTCAGCTAGAGTGGACGTCTACTGCAAAAGATGGAAAAGCCTCAATCAGGATCAGCCAAAGCCACAGCCATCCCAGGATAGCTCTGGCTTTCATCACACAGAGTATGGTAAACAGGAACACTCAACTTTTCAGTAGGGCTATTTTTACTATTCTAAAACCACTGTTTTCACATAACATAAAGCTGCCCTATATATTACAGCTATATCTGGCTGGGGCTTTAAGCAATCCATGGTCTACAATCAAATCTTGAGTCAAACAAACATTGAAAAGCTTTACAAATCCCTGTTTGTGGCTTTAGCAGGTCCAGTGTGTTCAAGCGGCTGCTGGCCTCATTTACACTCTGGACCCTCAGGGTTTAGAGGGGCTAGTTTACACCCATCAATAAAACTTAACTACAGACCAGTCACCCAGAAACTAGCCTTCAACTGCCCACTCAGCTATAAAACACTCACTCAGAATATTAGCGTAGTCAGCCATAAGCTATGTGCAAACCATCTGTGAACTAGGCTTAAAGATACACCCTTTAAGGTAGCTCTTGTTAGCATCATTTCTAGCCCAATATCCTGTTGAAGGCCCTTCACAGAACACCAGCATGGCTTAACTAGGCTTTAATTGTCAATACATTGACTGTACTGTGCAGGCCTGCCATGGCTGGCTGTGAGCTTCAAAAACAGAGGCGAGTGGAGATTATTAATATTAAAAGGAGGCAGTAAAGAAAATCCAGCAAAACTCAAGACACTGCTTCCCTCGGATGGACATGTTTAGAAGCCTCCCGCTAGGTCTGAATGGACTCAAGGCACGTTCCAGTATAGAAACGTGCATGGAATTGTCACCTCTTTCTGTCTGCAGGCTGTATAGGACTGCATATGCTTTCACAAGCCTTATGCCTATAAATATGACAATGTATCATAAGACAAAAATCCAACATCATTAGACATTTTCACAATACACGAAAAATATCAAGATGATACACAAAAAACTATGGGTGATTATGAAAAACTATGTAAAATGTTTATTTAAAAAAACAGGAAGAAATATCAACCCATTTGGCTGACATTTAATCAGCTACCAGTTCCTAGGTAGGTTCTACAGTGACTTGTTGTCGGTGTTTACAAGCTCTCTAGGCTAAATCATGCAGTTGTTCAGTATTATAGAAGTACTGACGATACCCACAACATACCCAGGATACCCACAACATACCCCACTTTGTGACATAATTTGGCAGATACATAAACGAAAAATATCGAATATCCTTGCATCCCAAATGATAAGATCATATTTTTCAACCCCTAGTTGATGTACAGTCTTAAAAAGTCTCACACTCAAGCACATTGTTAAAGCCATTTATTTGTGCAATAAATATACATTTTTGCCAGTAAATTACACTTAGAAAACAAACATAAGTTTCTTCTTTTTTCTTTTAAGTTCTTGTTTTCAAAAAAGCAGCTGAAATGTTGTGCGCTAGTGAGCAGAACACACTTCCAAAGTCCTAAAGTTCTCTTAGATGCCCCAAGCCATAACAATCCATGAGCAGCACACCTGATCTATTTTAATAAAGGACCAATGCAGCACATTCTCCATCAAACTGAAGAACCATTTCACCATGCAAAGAACCCTTTAATCATGCAATGGGTTCTTTGAGTGTTTATGGTTCTATACAGAACCACTGTCTTTACTACAGAACCATCATTGTGTACAGTTAATACTGGACTTCCATGAGGACAGGTTTGGAAATGGTTAGGTGAACCCACTGAAGTACATAAAGTCACTACTTACAGTCTTAATGTTATTATTATCATTCTAATATTAGTGATTTTTTAACAAATACACACTAAATGCCCAGTTAAATGTTTGTTTTTTACAAATAATTTGCTAAAACATTTGCTTAATACTATATGAATGTGCGTTTTCCTATTAGTTCCTATTAGCCAAGCACTACAGTAAACATCCTACTGAGAGCGGGCAGAGAGGACACACACATCTGCGACAAACACCAAGCCTGAAGGCAGGAACACTGCGATGTCATTAGAACACAGGCCTAGTATGATATTGCTTTGTTAGGCAAATTCACTATGGTGGCCTAGGCTTACATAAAATACATATGCTGATACTGTCACTTCAGTTTTCATTTCTGGTCTCTCTTGCTCGTTCCCTCAGTTCTTCCCTGCAGAGCCTGTAATGTGAATTTTATTCTGGCAACACTAAACCCTCATCTTCCTCTTACTCATCTTTCAGCATGAAATATGGCGTTCCTTCTGTCTTTCTTCACTCTTTCCCATCCGCTTCCTCTTATGTCTCGTGTGGATATATGAGCGAAGAGCCACCCGTTGCCACACACACTCGTCTAACCCTTTTCTCTCTCTCTCTTTTTCTCTTCCTCCCACTCTCTCCATATGTAGGCCAAGTTCAAAAGGAAAAGCATGAGGGGGAAAGGAAAAAGAGGGAGATTTCTTAAACACTTCAGTGTGGTTGAGTGTAGTGAGTGGAGCCAAGGCTCAGGAACATGTGGAGCTCTCTCTGGCCTCCTTCAGGAAGCCCAGTCCCTGAGGAACTCAAACAATAGGGCTGATAAAAGCAGGACGGCTCACGTTTCCTCCACACTGAGGAAGACTAGGGGGAGGAGGGGGGCATCGGAGGACAAAAACACATCCCTTCATTCTTTTCTTCCTCCTTCTCCCAGGGTCTAAACACGTCTGTCTAAACAGCTGAAGACTACACACTGATGGGTGTGACCAGTAATATAACAGGATAGTAATATTACAGAACCCAACACTTTGTGTGTGTCTGTGTTTGTTTTTGGTCATTTTAAGGACAGAAAGGTCCTGAATTTCTAAGAGAAACAGGGCTAATCTACAAAGAGAGTGCCAACAAAACCAACTTTTTCCAATAGATAGCACCTTTTTCATTTTTTAAAACTAAAAGGGCTTTTTAGTTACTGAGGTTAAGGCTAGGATTATGTTTGTATAGCCTTTTCACACTCAAACCCCGGCACATTACTGACATACTTTTACCAGTAATGCTCAGGCTTTGCATTATTCAAATTTAAAGCCCTTACAAGACGTTTTACTGGGATGCTTATATTCATACTATATAAGCATCTATAAATGCTTATCTGTACTTATTGTGCATGTCCTATTAAACAGAATGTGACATCACTACAAAAAGTCAACTATAAAAATAAAAACAACCTCAAAATTGAGTCATCCTTGCCTTTCTTGTATAAAAGCCTACATGTGAAAAGGGGCTTTAGGCTTAAAATCCTATTACATACGGGTAGTTACATATATATAATGTATATGGGAAATGACAGCAATGTCAGCAAAATCTCTACCTAAACAGTGCTGTGTGAGTTTGTTATTGACCTGTGAAGTGTTTTTTTTCCAAAGAGAAGAAACCTGGCAAATTTCTCTCAGTCATGCTAAAGTTTCTCACCTCTCTCACTCTTCCCCTTCTTCTCCTCTTCTGAACTCCTCAAACATAAATGTATAACTCAGGTGCATTCAGTAACGCCTTCATGCAGGACACAGGACAGCTCCTTTAAATCCAGGCTCGGCCAATCTAGTTCTAGCTTAAGTTCTTTTTATTTTAACAACCACACAAATCATTATGAAAACCAGACACTCTAAACTGAGATTAGCCCACAAAACCCAGCCAAAATGTTTTCAATTCATCAACACATTGGTTTGCTCCTAAAGCCTGGAGTACATGACCCCTTTAGCTGTCTCCTTTGAGTTCAAGGCACTAATTTATGAGAACTAAAATGGCAGCATGGGCTGACACTGCAACCACATTCTGGACTGAGTTGTACTCATCAGGCCAAGCCAAACTCTCTGACAACTCAAGCCTGGAGTTTATGAAGCTTAGCGAGCCAGACTAGCTGTCCCTTCTGCTTTTTTCCAGTGTTTGAAATCAGCCTTCACACTTCTATATCCTGGGTTTTAAAATGAAAGCTCTAGCATAAAGAACATTTAGCTCAATAGCTTACATTTTCTCTCCTTTTCTGATATTCACAAGGGCAGC